GTGAATGGCGGAATTCGCCCGCCAGCTTACCACGATTGGCTGTCACAGCTGAATATCCAGATCCTACCGAACGGCTGCTCGCGAACATGGACATGGATGTTGCTCAAGGCATAAGGACGGCAGATTAAAGCGAGAGTGAGCTGGCAAGCTTCGGAGGTGGCCGCGAGCGTGATAGGCGGGGACGGCGCGCCCATTTGCTGCGTCTGAACGGCGTGGACAGGAGTGCAGGTGCTTTTGAAGAAGTATCTGGATCAGGAGTATTTGACAGTAAGGAGAGGAGACGAGTGAGTGGTGGTTGTTTGTGGGCGGTGCTGGTTAGCGGATTTTAACGTCTCGGCGATGTGCCTCTCTGTGCTGTCCACATGTGCGTGCGGTGCATCATATCGCCATGCCATCCTTTCCAGAGGACCAGCCTCATGTACCGTGCCGGTTGCAATCTGGCTATCGCCGTCCTTTGAGCGCCAGCTAGCCGCCCTGGCCTATCGTCGTCGCGCACTTGGCCCGCCCTGTGTTGGCGGAGCCTCTCCTCCGCCGGCCTCGTCTGTGTCTGTGTCTGTCTGCCAGTCTCCCAGTCCTAGCTGCTACTTGCACCGCTCGAAACCCTACCAATAATGACGCCTCCCACGACACTGCATCCCCGCGGGCACGGCTCTCAGCGGCCGTGTTCCTGAAATCCTCCTGCAGCTGTTGCTTGTCAGATCCCTAGCCTCAGGAGACTGGGTATTGGATATTCTTACATTCCTGTGCCTGGCCGTCGTCGCCGGGTCACCAGCGGTACGTCCAATTATTCGTGAATAATTCTTCGCATCCACCTCACCGGCCCCACTGCCCTCATTCCGTGAAAGAATTCGACGGATTCCTTGAGAGCTTGGCCCGTCTGCCCCTCTGGCTTGCAGTAGGCGTTGGACGTTGGACGACGGCCTCGCCCTCACTGTCGCTACCTGCACTGTGTACCTGTACCTGCAGCACGTCTCACAGCACACCGTACACCACATCTCACATATCTCCCCCGGTTCCCTTTCGAGCCTCACCTGGGTATCACGGCTGTTCTGCCCTATCCTGATTGCTCTGCTTGTAGTTTGACTCCAGACATCAAGCCTGCTTGCCGGTCCATCCATCCCATCACACCTTCCGCCCCCGAACGACCGCACCTCCCCTCCTCGAACCCGCCGCTCGCCCGCTACATGAACTCTGGGCCACCAGCACTGTTCCACCGGCTTTGCTATGAGTCTGGATCAGCACATATATGGGTAGGACTCCCTTCACCGGTCGCCTTGGTGTTGAGCTCGATGGGGACACACGACAGCTCGGAGCTACAGCGAGCTTCAGGATGGGATTGCTACCCCTCAATGGCATCTCTGCCTAGAGGAAGTGCACAATCTATCTGTCTACGATCTGTCAGACGGCGCACCCCATTGCGGTGTGGTCAGGCGGAGGGCAGGCAGCACTGCACACTCTCAAGCTTCCCCTCGACGACTCATTCCAGCACCCGTCACTGTCCCTCCATGGACTTCACTTGTACTAGAAATATTTTTCTACATTATTCCATCCCATTTCATGTCATGTCCTGCATCGCCTCCACATTTATTTTAGCGAGTCGCTAAATGTTTCAAAGCTAACGGCTGTGGTGTTTCGTCAGATCAACGGATTGGCATCTTCCCAGTCCCTCCTCCACACCAAAGTCCGTGACGTTTCCGGACTCGACGCTGAAGACGCCCAAGACTGAGGCATTCCCTCAGTCCTACTTCCTCGACGCCTGGTCGACGCCTCGGGTCAATGGGCACCAGACACCCGCCCAGACGCCATCCCTCATCCTCTCCACGCCCATAGACCGACCGTCGACCTCACACAGCCTCAAGGTTCGCACGCCTGAGGATCCCGACTTCCATGTCAATCACTTTGTCCCCAACAACCTTACGCTACCGCCCGTTGAGCCTGCGAGGAGGCTGTCTTCCTCGCCCGACCCGCACTCGGTGAAACAAGCCGGGGTTTCCCTTTCTGACAGCCAGACGTTTCCGTCCCGACCTGTCAGTATGGACACCTCGCAGATGCAGACGCCACCGCCGACAAGACATGCTACATCGAGGAGAAGCTTGCAGCAAAGTGGAGGACAGGAATTTGCCACACCAGCCACTGTGATTCAACGCGCACCTGGGCAGATGGCACCGGCGGATGGATTCTTCAATCAAACCCCGCTCTTCCCAAGTCTGCAGTTTTCCCCGGACATGCTGCAATTTTCGAATGCAGGTCCAATGTCGGCACCTCCTCTACCTCACTCCCGGTTATTTTGGGATCAGCCTAATGATGGCACTCAGATGGACGTCGACGTGCCCCTTGCTTCGGACCCTTTTGGGCCCACCCCGCACAAAGTGGAAGGGAATGTGAATTGGCCGACCTTTCACACCCCGGCCGGTTACAACCAGATGAACCCTCAGGCTTTCCAGGCACTGCATGGGATGTCGTCCCCAGGACCAATGACCTCCTTCGCCGCAAGCAATGCTGGTAACGGCAATTCTAGGCCCAATTCATTCGTCTCGACTTCAGGCGGTGTCGACCCCAGCATGCTCTTTAGCTTCTCGAGCCCTGGCCCTATGGCCTCGTTTGATCATGCTGCGCAAATGCCGCCCAAGCAGGTTGACAGTAGACAGCCGTATGAAACCCAACTGCGAGACTCGTTGATTGAGAAGGAAACGGCTCGGCAGGCAAAGAGTCAGCATTCTCGGACAAGCACCAATTCATCGAGTGCGTCTTTTGAGCAGCCTAAGCCTGGGCTCCAACGCAGCAATACAGACAGTGGGTTCAGGAAAAGTCGGCCTTCATCTATAGACTCGCGGTCGTCTGGATCAGCTGGAGGCTTCAACATTCCCCGTCGGTCGTCGCCGCTCAAGAGGCAAAGTGGTGGCTCGCTCATGGCTATTCCTGAAGTCCGAAGACCAAAGACACGTCTTGTAATTGATGAAACCGGTCGGGCTCGCACGGAAACTGTGCCCGTTGAAGAAGCTGAGATGAGTGGTGGTAATGTGCGAAGGGCTTCCCTATCTCAGAAGGAATTAAGACGGCAGTATCCAGGTCTATGGTCTGGTGATGACAGCGATACTGAGGAGGACGAACCAGTCACACTCAGCCGCAATACTTCATTCAACATGCCTCAACGGCGTCCCTCGAAACATGCCCGAGCGGACAGCGGTGAGCTCCTTCGGTCGAACTCTTTTAAGATAGCACGGCCTTCATCACGGCCGTCATCTAGCGCATTTGACAAGTCCTCCTTTGAGACTATACGGCCCGCGAGGCGAGTGGCAGACAATGCCCATCGGCGATTTAGCATGATGGACTTTCCCACGTCGTCCAACGATACAAATGAGACTGAGGATCAAGCGATGCCTGATTCTCCTGGGGACGCATTAGGTGCGTTGAAGAAGGTGGTCGAGGGTCGGAACAAGAGGACAGGTATGCTGGTTGACGGCGTCCATCATACTCTCGCTAACTAGTATAGATCGTTCTGCTCAGAACACTTTGAGAGCCCACAATCAACGCTGGGCCCAAGCCTCTGCCGATCTTGCCAACGCGACCTCTTACGACCCGTTCACCAACTCGTTTACTGGCTCTCCAGCAAACTCCGCTGACACTGGTTTCACTACACCATCCACCGATCGCAGCAGTCTTTCCGGCGACAGCACACGCTGCGTCTGCAACGGCGGTGATGACGGCCGGTCCATGGTGCAATGCGAGTCCTGCAATAAATGGCTCCACATGGGCTGCGTCGGGCTCAATCAGGGTAACCTCCCGCCCGTCTACGTCTGCGTCTTCTGCACTGGTCAGACGCCCGTTGCTCGCGGTGGTAGAATTCGAGGTCCTATGCCTGCGCCCTTTGACTCGCCGCTCACCCACAAGTCGGTCTTCCACCGGTGATACAGCATCCTCGGCGAGTCAAGACCTGGCGTACGGCCTCAGCACCCTCGCACTTCTGGCCCCAAGTGTTCCGCCTCATTGGACACCCGAGGCCGATCGGCATTCTGGATCTTCTAGAGCCTATCAAATATCTCCTTTCGCCATTCAGCATTTTCCCACTCCATTTTTGTCTGGTCTAGCGTTGATTCGAATTCGAGCACAGCAAGCAACAAGCATCGATACATCTGCATACACCCTCACCGGTAAACTTTTCACGACAGTCCTTACCTTGTCCACCTCTCCTCCGATCCGTTAATTGGTCTCCTTTACCACCTCCCTCCGCTTATCCGACCCGTCCGTCGCTCGACACATACACAAACTGTAATTGTCTCGTTTGTCATCCCCTCAGAATTCCCGCTGGCTCAGGAGTTGTTGGGAGGAAAACATGTAATGTCTTGTTAAGGCTCTTTTCGTTCATTTGTTGGGTGGTGGTTGTAATAGTGGTGATGGGTGAGTGGAAGTCGTTTTTTCTGGATTGCTTTGGCTTCTTTACGCTCGTTTACGCTCGTTATGATGGATGGGGTTATGAGGAATGGGGTGGTGGTTGGTGGTTGGGGTGGAAATAGGTAATGATTGAATAGGGAGGAAGGCACTGCGTTGACGAGGAAGTGGTGTGCGTGAGTGGTGCTGGATAGATCTGTGTAGATGGATAGGCTTGCTGGGTGGCTCCAGGCTGAGAATGATAACTGTCGAAAGCTTGATCTCCGTGTCCTGAAGCAAAGCCTCGTGCCGTTCAAGAGAGAATCGACAGGGTTTAATATTTCGATTTTATTTGTGCTGTTGTGAGTCGTGCTTGGAAAAATCACTTGCAATCCAGCTTTGGCACACACCAATCTCGATATAACGTTTTGGTGGGCAGCCTCCTTCCAGGAGTGTCAATGTCTCGCCTCCCTCGGAAAGCTGATGGAAGGGAGGGAGGAAGGAAGGAACGAACGCCGCGATTTAATCAAGCTCTAGTGTATAGCGGAAGAAAATAAAGGACCACTTCACTATGCACAACGGAATACGCTAAAAAGAAATAAAGCGCCAAAAAGACCAAAAAAGCAAAATAACGAAGTCCATGGGGCTCGAACCCACAACCTTTGGTGTTTTTCCGGCATATACCGTATGTAGTACCCGAAAACCAACGCGCTACCATTGCGCCAAGACTCCGCGGCCATTCTGGAGTTCCCGGATGAGGAATAAGTTGAATGATAGATTTTTGGGATTATGAATATATATATAGGAGGACTTTTCATTATTTCTTTTGTGATGTGGGAGGGGGAGTGGCGGGTTTTATCGAAGACGGTATGTGCTAGCTGAGAATGTGATTGTGATTGTGATTGGGAGGCAGAGGCTGAGGCTGAGGCGTGACGTAGACTGTGGGGCTGGTGGGGTGAGTTGGGGGCTTGGATTGAACTTTAATAAATGTGTTTGATCGCGATGGAGATCAAGGCTTCGATTGGACTTCTTGGACTTTAATGTATTGGTTGAGGTAGAGTTGTTCAGTACAATATTGCCTGAGCTTGCGAATATATGTAGTTTGACTGGTTGTTTTACTTGGAGGTTACGGTTCCTTCGAGCATTAAAGTTTGGAGTTTGAAATTTGCTTGTAGAGGCGTTTAATATTCAAGCTGGTAAGTCTCTCATACTTGTATTGAAGCAAATAATTAGATAATTGGATATGTCTGATGTTTACTCTCGTTCTCCTTCGCTTACAATTTCGTTCCGCGGGTGTGAGATAGATTCACTCAGTTAATTAAGGATGTTTAACAGAAACGCGTGCAAGTGATACTGTGACATAGGTTCGGAGGAAGCCACATATAGAGTATCTATACGAGGCTGGATTGATGCAAGTGCGAATGTTGGGAAGGTGTCACAGCTCACCCGAGGAAGGCCTAAGCTCTCGGGGAACGTTTCTTCGGTTCGCTAATCTCCGCATTTCCTTCCACTACCTACAAGCCGTCATTGCGGGCAACTTCGATATGTTCTCTCGAGTCAGTTCGACGCGGTGTTTACTTTTCGATGATTGATTGATCGTTGCTTTTTGACCTACTAATGCGGACGCACGGTCCTGTGACACGCTTTGAGACGCATATGCATCTTCCATCTCCATTGAGATGGCCTCATCTAACCCATCTCCAAATGGAACGAACAGCAATCCTTGACCAATTGCACAGCTACCATCTCCTGTGCCTTTCGACAACCGCCCACACGTCTCCGCAATTCGCAGACCTCACTTGCATCCTCGGGACACAGGCGCCAAACGACTCCCTCCCATAAACCCACCATGCAGTGACCCCAACCCCACGCCCAAAAAGGAACCAATTCCACTCCCCCATCTAAGCAAATATGCGGTAGCATGGTCGGCGACTCAATTCACGACCGGGATCGGTTCCTGTTGTCGCGGAATCGCGCTCGTCCCACGGTCTGAAATCAATGGAGCAAGTCGTGCAACCATGGTACCTTTCATCCGCACCCGATCTCCACCCCGCGGTGGTCCGCCACCCGTTTAGCTTTGCTGTCTTTCCATTTGTTGTCTTTCAAGATATATGGGGTTGACTGTCATCTTCCTTGTCTGAGAGCAACGGCTCGACGCCAGAGGCTGATGACGTGCAGTTTTTACATCTTACCGCAGGTCGGTTCCTGATTTTCAAGGGAAGAAAAAAAAGGTTGATGAATGATGGCTTTGAGTGAAGTAAAGTTGGCTCGGATAGGGGAGCAGTTGGAAAGTATTGCTATTGCTTTCTTGACGCTTTCGTGGTTGTTTATTGGGTTGAGGATTTATACGAGGACGTGTATTAGGTTCAGCTTTGGGTGGGATGACTTCGCTATGATAGTTGCGGGGGTGAGTGCTCCATCATATTTATTGGATGCTTGCTAACGAGGTGTAGATGGTCTTCACTGTCTTTTGCAGCTGTGTTTTATACATCGAGGCTCGTGGCGGCGGGACACATGTAACAAGCATAGCACAGCTCGACGATCTCACAAAGGTACGTAGAGCTAGTATCTGCAAAAAACGAAACAATCTTACCATTCTCAGTGGGTCATCGCAAGCGAAGCTTCCTACATCATCACCATCTTCGTCCTCAAGATCTCACTCGCCATCTTCTTCATGCGCATCGTCGTCGAGCAATGGCACAGAGCCCTCGTCTACACCACGGTCGCCATCTGTGCCATCTCGTCCATCTCCGCTTTCTTCTATGCCATCTTTCGATGTGGACCTGATGTCGCGCACTATGCCTCCCTGCAGCTGCAAAACGCGTGCATGAGCAGGACTGTGGACCGATTCTTCGCGTATCAACAAGCCGCTTTTGCTTTCTTGACGGATTGCGTCTTTGTGGTGCTGCCGGTCATCTTCTTGTGGAATGCGAATATGGAAAGGCGGTCCAAGGTTCTGGTGGGGCTTATCCTTTCGCTGGCTACGGTGTAAGTGGATAGTGGACTGTGTGGACTGTCGTGGCTGACCTGATAGGGGTTGTATATGCTCGGCTATACGTTTCCAGTACGTGGACGGACTGACCGATGTCCGCGACTTCTTCTGTACGCTTCTCACTCTATATCAATTCACGGAAAACTAACACGAAGCGCAGGGAGCGCGACGAATGTATCTATATGGTCCACCATCGAGCCAGGCACCGGGATCATAGCGGGATCTATGGCGGCACTCCGGCCACTGCTGAAGCAAGCCTTTGCCACAGCGAGATTTATTCGCTCGACAATTTTGCAGTCTCATAAAACGTCCAACGGCTCTTCGCAGCAGCAGCAGAGTGGTAGGGAAAGTCATGTCGACGCCGAATGGAGGAGAGCGCGACATCAATATCAACATCGAGGAGATACCAACACGGATATTGAAAGTCAGAATGGTGATGGGGGCCTTATTGAGATGCGATCGGATTCGAGCAAGAAGGGTGGGAGCACGGAGGATATCCTTCCTTCTGGGCGGTGCAGGGAGGTTTGAATAGGCGGATATGATGGAAAATATTGAACTCCAGGATGAGGAGCCAGCTGTTAGCCTCAGACTATGCTGTAGAGCGAGCCATCAATCCACAGGCCTGTTCGACCTCACCGGATTCGAAGTGTCAACAGCTCTCCGCCGCCCGGATGCTTCACTCCACATACCCGACAATCACGCCAGAGACGGAGACGATGATGCAGCACAAGCGTTTCGTCACAAAAACATTCATGGAAAAGAAAAAAAGTCAGGGCTCCTTTGGTCAAGAGTCGAGTCGAGGTTTCAGCAGCCGAACCGGTTTGGGATCTACATGCATACAGCTCCCGGGCTCTGCCTCATCTTTGCTTTTTCCTCGTACGACCTGCGACCGTAGACTAAGGTTGTTTTGCTTTTCGCTTCTCCTCCTCTTCTCTCGGCGTTGAATCAATTTGTTTGGGATATTGAGGAGTGTGGTTGGAAATCTTAGGCTTTGCATACGTTGTTTTGACTTTCTGTCTGCGCCTTAGCTGACATTTTGTTCTTTCAATCCGAGGAGGGATTTTCATTCTCGAAACAGGCGTAGCACCGCAGAGTCTCCATATGAATTACTTACTTCACAAGCGTTGCAATTCTCACACTAAACCCCTCGCTTGCAGCGTCATGTAGTCATCGAACTGAGGGTATCACATACCCGGTTCCCCACCCTGCTTTCGCACGACCGCGTACGATCGCCGACATCGCTTCCCTCCCATCTTTTCCATTATGACGGCCCTACAAGTGTGACCTGATGGTACGAACAGATCCAACTAAATTGGTACCCTTCTCTCTTCATCATCCTATATATGTAGGTACACAGCGTCTCAACTATGAAGACATTTGCGTGCGAAATCTTACATACAGCCGTGCAACCTCTATCCCCCAACGCCAGCCACTCCCTCCTCCAGGTTGCCCTAGGCTCTAGGGCACTCCTAAGGAGGGAAGAGCAGCAAAATAACAGTAGTAAATCGCACACAACATACCCTACACAGCCGTGCAACCTCTATCCCCCAACACCAGCCACTCTCTCTCCTCTAGGTCGCCCTAGGCTCTAGGGCACTCCCAAGGAGGCAAGAGCAGCGAAATGACAGTGGTGAATCGCACCGTCGAGCCCCTCCCAGCACACCTACCACGTTTATCACCACCGCACCACCGATGCGCTAACCTATCCCAGAAAACGCCCTATAGGCGTTTTTGCTCAATTTTGCGACTCCTCGTTACCCTTCTCGCAGCCCCCCTCGAGATAAGTATATATCATCTTTTCCCTACCCTCTAATCAAAACACATACACACACACCACTGCGGTTTCGGTTTCATAAATCCATTGAAAATCTCGAAGTAGAGAACAAAATACTAGGGGGGAATCAATGCAACAAAGACCCAGCGTTTCTTTTCTTAATCACCTGGTCCTCAAGTTCAAAGCCCGCAACCTTCGCGGGGAGGGAAGACGAGAAGAAAGAGGGGAAAAAAAGGAGAGATCAAGGGCAAGTAAAAAGTGAAGCAAAGACAGAAAAGGTATTCATGGTATGCATTGATGCCCTTCCACTATCCTTATCCTCATACTCATCTTCATCACCGGAATACTGCCACCAGGGGGAAGAGAGAGAACAAGCCGTGCTAGATAAGGGTAATTAAAGGAAAAACCGCAATCGACCAAGAACAATTCCGTGTCTAAAACAAACAAAGTTTTTTCTCCACAAGACGAGACAAAGGTCAAATCTCCTCCTCTGTTTCCCTTCATCCCGACTTTACAAGACTTTTGGTGCTACATGACTGGTTGGAGAGTGGTGCTGGTGCCATCGAGGAGGGGCAGTGCAGGGCGGGGCGTATATGGGTTGGGTGGGGTTGGGTTGGATTTGGGTGCATACGGGCTCGGTGCCGGGGGCTGGGGGTGTCTGTACCGGGATATGCTTCGTAGGGGGATGCTCGATTGAGGGAGGGCCGGGGACGATTTGGGTACAAAGTCTGTAACCAGCGACGGTTGTTCGGGAACATGGGCACTCGAATCCACTGACTGAGGCCGATTAGGTGACCGGCAGATACCAACCAAACAAGAACTCGTGCATGTCTGGTCTGTTGCCCACCCTGGCCGATTTCATGGGAACTTCAGATGCTGAGATGTCCGTGCTCCAAGGGTCATTGAGATCGCGTTTCATCCTTGGGGTTCCTGATATCAAAAGGTTTAGTCAAACGCTAGATACCT